CAGGAACGCTCAAGGTTTGAATGTATGGGAAAGTTCTTTATACAGTCCATAATAAAAAGATTTATATGGGGTCGTAAACTATACCTTATAAAGACGTTTTTAGTGTCGTAAATGGCTTGTTTTCCTCGTTTTTGGGGGACTAAGGGGTGTATTAAAGAAAATTGGGAATTATTTTATTGTTTGTTGCCTACTACTTCCTTCATTGTGTGACTACTGCTGCGAATGTGGTCCAGAATTCAAAAGAAGGTTGAATAATACGATTTTGTACTTTCTTTTTAAAGTGTTACGGTGCAGTTTTTGCTCGCTCTTCTTTATTTCAAACTACACTTTGGAACGAGTACCCTTCACTGATAATTCAATTTAACGTTTGTAGTTAAGCATTTAAGTGTGGGAGAGCCATGCTTCGGCATGAATGGGCCGGCTCGACCGGAGTGATACCACGGTCTCACAGAAGACCGATTTAAAACAACGTTGTGTTGTGTTTCGTCGTGTGAGGTTACCGGATGCCCAATTACCCTCCCCCCTTTCCCCAATCCCTGAATCCCCAACAATCCTCAAATTCCTAATTCCAAAAGGCCGGTAACGCACTTGTAACGCCTCTGCTGTGCCAGGTATCCATGGGCGACGCCGATTGCTTACCATCAGGTGATCCGTCTGCTCGTTTACCGTTTACCCCATAAAAAAAGCATTCTTAGAAATAAATAATTTAAATAAACTGGCTTTGGCTGGAAAATCATACAATGGCTTCTACCGCCCGGGTGAGGTGAGAGGTAGTCAGACTCTTACTGACTAAAAACCACCCGTTCCTACTCCTGTACTTCGAGTCGGAGCCCCGGTAACCCGTTAAGTCCTTCGTGGCTCCGTAAACTGGCTACGATAAGAGATACAAACTGGGTAATAAGATAATAAATTATACAAAATAAAATAACCTTCTTTATTTAATGAAAAGGAAGGTATCAATATACCTATATTGATACCTTCAATGTAACAAAAATGGTTCACCAGTGATGTTCTGAGTTACACTTAAAATAGGGTGGGGGGACACAATAATACAAATATGTAATTAGCATAAATATTTATTGCATTTGTATCAACAATTTACAAAAATACAAAATTGATAAGTTTATTAATACAACTTAGAATTTAACATACCTTTTTTTTAGTACGGGGTCGCTCTTATTTCTTGGGGTAAACTGTAACAACGAACGAATGAATGTTTGTTAAATTGCGAATTTTTTTATTGAAGGATATTTTTTTTGATGGAATATAGTTTTAAGAACCGCAACCTGATTTGTAATAGTATTCATCGGTTTCCGTGGTGTAGTGGTTATCACATCTGCCTAACACGCAGAAGGTCCCCGGTTCGATCCCGGGCGGAAACATAGTTTTGTTCCACTTGTTTTACTTTTTCGTATACCCTTAAGGATTCCGATCATCATCATCATCAGCGAGAAGACGTCTATGTCTTAGGTTTATTTATGAGTTAAATTAATTGTACGCAAGTGAATTAACAATTATTATATAACATATAAACATCACACCTTTTTCTCCGAAGGGGTAGGCAGAGGTGCACATTTCGGCACTTAATGCCACTGTACAATGCAACGCCCATTTTTCACTATTTATGTTATGAGTCCCATGTAATAAGGGGTGAGCCTATGGCCATATACCGGGCACATTTCCAGACTCCGTGCTACTAATGAGATTTTTAAAACCCATACTTTGCCCGACCCGGGAATCGACCCCGAGACCCCTTGCCCGGCAGTCGCTCTTGCGACCACTCGGCCAACGAGGCAGTTATTAACAAATTATATATTAGCTAAATCTATAAACACTAACCACATGAATCATAAACGTGACCTTTAGCAAAAGGTAGATAAGAATATTTTGAAATCAATCTGCATACTAATTAAAGATTCAGAAAGTCTGTAATAAAATTTTCCTCAACGCTTGAACTTGTCGAAGACTTGTTAATCAATTTCGGAAGTCCAATTTCTGCAGTAGACAGTAAAACTCAAAACTCGAGAATCATACAAACTCGACTCAAATGCGAATGTAATGTGATACGGGATGTTCTAACTTTTGTAGAGATTTGTGCGTGTGTAGCGATTAAGTTTATGTGGAGGACGCATATATATTATTCGTCATTATGTCTTTAATGCTGTTTGGTTGGTGTCTATATTATGATTCCGAAGCAAATGTTGTTGGTGGTACAAACATATGTATATATATTTTGACGATATACTGGCTGTCTCGTTGATTGAGTGGTCACAAGTGCGACTGCCGGGCAAGGGGTCTCGGGTTCGATTGGTGTGTCGGGCAAAGTAATACTGGGTTTTTAACAAATTTTCAGTAGTAGCACGGTGTCTGGAATTGTGCCCGGTATATGGCAATAGGCTCACCCCCTGTTACATGGAACTCATAACATAAGTAGTGAACAGTGGGTGGGTGCCGTAATTTTAACCTCTTCAGGAATAAAAGGCGTGATGATTATGTTATTGACGATATACGTAAGACTAGTAGTGGAGAGATGCAAAGAGCTGATGATCGAGATCAGTGGCGTGTTGTTAAGTAGCCTATGTCCAGGAGTAACAACTTTAAAAAATAAATAAAACAGACTGATAATAGTAATAAGTACAAGTCAGTTGAAAACGTGTGAATGTAATGGGGAACAATTAAATTATAAAATGTGATAGTGATATTGATAATGCTTTAGTTAGACTTAGTAAGTATATGTAGTCGTCGTGGTGGCCCGAGGTTTAAGACGCCGCTTCTCATGCATGAGGGTGCGGTTTTGAAACCTACCAACGGCAAGTACCAATGGACTTTTTCCGAGGTATATGTACTTTCTAAGATTATTCAGACACCATTGACAAACGGTGAAGGAAAACGTCGTGAGGAAACCTGGGCTTATAATTTCTAATTATAAGTTTGTAATCACCAACCCGCATTGAGCAAGCGTGGTGGTTTAATGCTCAAACCTTCTCCGTGTGAGAGGAGGCTTTGCTTAGCAGTCGGCAATTATAGGCTGTTGATGATGATGAGTAAGTATATGGAAAATTTATGTTCAAAGAATCGTTGCCAACAGAGAAAAAATCAAGTAGAGAAACAAGTCTATTCACTGACGGTTTTAGATTTACCGAATCCGATACAAATTGGAGGAAAAACGATGGGAAAAACTCGGGGAAAATCTATGCGAATCGGATACGCTGTAAAAACGCAGTATTTTTTTGGAAAAGCCGATTTTATTCCAGACGTTAGAATGAATGGTAAAATGAACAAGTTCCGTTATTTTTTTCGTATGAACATAGTCATATTTTTTGGTCCAGTATGTTGTTTTTATACAGTGAACTAGTTTTCCGCTATAGAAATGAGAAAAAATGGATTACTTTATCGTACCATAAAATTGCTACGTTGCCATAGCAAAGGCATAGAACTAGCAGACTTTCATCATCATCATTATCAACAGCTATAAATGCCCACTGCTGAGCAAAACCTCTTCTCACATGAAGAAGGTTAGAGTATTAGTCACCACGCTTGCTCAATGCGGGTTGGCGATTTCAAACTTATAATTTAGAAATTATATGCCCAGGTTTCCTCACGATGTTTTCCTTCACCGTTGGTAGTGGTGTCTAAATAATCTTAGAAAGTACATATAACTCGGAAAAAGTACATTGGTACTTGCCGTTGTAGGTTTCGAACCGCACACTCGTGGATGAGAAGCAGGCGTCTTCAATCTCCGGGCCACCACGACATTGCAGACTTTATAGCACTTATATATCATGATTTTGATATTATTATAAAGATTTTGAAAACGTTAACAAATATTATTTCATTATAACGGTCAAGCGGTGTGAAAGTTTCCAGACTTTGTTTTAGATAAGTCAATATCAACAAAGTTAATTAATTAGTTTCATTGTTTGGTCAAACTTATGTGGGCTGACATATTGACAGACGGTTCGTTTTAGTTAGTATTAATGCTAATTGCTACTAGTTTTACACTAAAACATCACCTGGTATATAGTTTTGGAGATATATCTATAACTATGCCTCATTGGCCGAGTGGTCGCAAGTGCGACTGCCGGGCAAAGGGTCTCGTGTTCGATTTCCGGGTCGGGCAAAGTATTACTGGTTTTAAAAAAATCTCAGTAGTAACACGGAGTCTGGAAATGTGCCCGGTATATGGCAATATCCTCATCCCCTATTACATGGACTCATAACATAAATAGTGAAAAATGGGTGTTACATTGTACAGTGGCATTAAGTGCCGAAATGTACACCTCTGCTACCCCTTCGGGGATAAAAAGGCGTGATGTAATGTTATGTATCTATAACTATGCGATTAAATAAAACCAAATACAAAATGGATGGTTGGTTTTCGCTATTCTTCTTTGTTTATTTTATACAACATTCTTATTGTACTCGACAAATCTTCGATGATCTGTGAATACGCGCTGACTAGAGAATCTCTCTAATTTTATTCGGTTAAAAATCACGAAGACGCTAATCAGATAAAACAGTAATTGTCGATAAATTAGTAGCTTTTTCCTTAACCGACGAGCATGCATAAAAAACTGATGACTGTTGATGAAGCTAAAGAGGTATATAAAATCGTAGCAATAGATGACAAATTTTTATTTTTCGTCCGTCTGGTAAATTATTTAAAAACATTAGTCACGTATTTTTTATTTTCTTACAGAAAAAATACTTTCGACGACATTTTGATTTGAAATGTCGCATGACGTCACTTCTATGTACATTTTATACGTAGAAATGACGTTTTAGCCCCCACTTTTAAACTTTGATTCATTTAATCTAAGTATTATTTTATTATACGACAAAAAAATACGTGTCTGATATTTTCTCATTACCTAACAGATGGACTAATTACATCATCCCTATTGCCGTTGCGTGGCCGTTGCCCCCATGGTCGACGGCGTGAGGTTATATATGTATATGTATGTAATAGCTTTTCTGCTCACCTTGCAATGGAATTTAGTTCATGAACGTCTTGAATTGATACTGATGTTAGGCAATCTGAAAACAAAACAAGAAGAGAACATCTTCGTGATTCATTTTCAGATTTTTGAATACGAGAAAATGTCAATCAGTTAAACATTTTATGACGATAACCTTATCATTGTGTCCTTTGTGTCAGGGCCATATTTTCTTCATAAAAAAAACAAATAAATTAGGTAAGACTTTGACCTTCTTAGGCATTTTTTACAAAAATGTTGCATAGACAAATGAGATGTAGGTAATGATCCTCTGTGTTTCAAAGTCCAAGCCATTGTAGTTTGAATATTTGATAGGCGAGCAGATTATTGTATCTACTTAGACATAAAAATAATAAGCTGGGTAGTTTGCAGATTGATTTGAAAAAAGAGTGATCTTGTGATCTTAATAAGACTTCTGATCGTAAGACACATAAGACACATGATTTTCTTGGCTCAACAAATAAATTTACGCTTAACCATAAGTCATAGTTATTTGCATGGGAATAGACAAAATGGGAGTCTAACATTTTTAAGACGAAATAAAAAAATCTGTAACTTACTTCGGTTGTATGAGATGGAAAGGCATCTTCCTTACAGCTTCCTCAGCTATATCCAGGGGGAAGGCGAATTCAATCATGTTCTCATTAAGGCAGTCGTTGTATGTGGAAGCCAGCTGACATCTATCAGACATGCCATCAATGCTGTCCAGGCAAAGTCGGGAGACAGTGTTTAGTTTGCGAACCACGCGGGAGTTCTTGCCGTTGACCAAACTGGCGAGGTGGACTAGCAGTTCTCTGTTTACCTGTGGTAGAAAAAAAATATTTTGAAGTATTTTTTTTAAGGGGGGGAAAATTAGTGAATGACTGCTCCCGCCTGGGTGAGGCGGGAGGGAGTGTCAGACTCTTACTGACTAAAAATCACCCCGTTCCTTCTCTTGCACGTCGAGCTGGAGCCCTGGTAACCCGTTAGGTTCTCCGCGACATATTATGAGGTATAGGCTTAAAGTTCTTGATGAAAAATATTTACAGCGAAGTGCTGTGAGCTCATATTCTGATGAAAGGACTTGAGATTTTATTTCGGTATCACAAGTTTCATTGAGGTTGTATTCAAGAAGTATTTTAACGGCTTCATAAGTATGTGAGTTTATTTTTGGTAATTATTACTTTGACACCGAGAAAGTACACGTCTACCACGAAACTGACGACTGGTTAAGATCGGCTTACCTCAAAATCATTTGCAACTTACCTTCCCATGATTGATGACGTCACTCTGTTCCAACATGCAGGCAGCAAAGCATTGCCCAGATCTGGAGACTGGTGAGGAGTTGGTGAAGTATGCTCTCACATCCTTAGGAGTTGCTCGAACTTTGATGACGCAGGACTGTGCCATTCGAACCAGAGCATCCAGATGACCTTGAACCTAAAGGAAAGTTAGTAACAGTAGTTTTAAGCCTTATACAGAATTTCCAATAGGTCCTAAGAGTTTCAGCGGATCAATTTCTTTCGGTTCTTAGGGAAAATTGGACCTTATACGATGTAATTTGAGAGATTATTTTAATAAAACAAAGAAGACTTATATAGGATTACCTTCTAAGAGGGAGTCAGATAGCAATAATTTTTATTTTACCTCTTTTTAATACTTAAGTTCTTAATCGAAATACTACTTCGTGTATAGTAGAGGTAATTCAAAACTGCTTACTTTGGGATCAGTGAAATCAACTAATGTTCCGGATGACCGTTGTATTCTTAGCCCCATAGCTAACGGCAAGAGACAGCTCATGACTTTGATTAGCAGCATTGTTCTAGAAAAAAAATCAATTATGAAAAAATCTGACTTGTACTTGTTGAAATCTTGACTGCACGGTTGGTGCGGTGGCTGGGCAACCGGCTGCCGTGCAACGTGTCGCGGGTTCGATTCCCGCACGGAACAACACTTTGTGTGATCCACAAATTGTTGTTTCGGGTCTGGGTGTCATGTGTATGTGAACTTGTATGTTTGTAAACGCACCCACGACACAGGAGAAAATCCTAGTGTGGGGCAAAGTTAAAAAAAAAAAAATCTGTTATATGAACTAAAGAACCAACGCAATGTTATTTTGTCACGCTATTCTTCTATTTGTAAAAAAAACAACGAAAGTCGTATGTCGATGTCGTAAGAGCTGCATGTTATACACATTTTGAGCAAAAGCGCTTTCAAATAAATCTTTTACTGTGACCTTTCGACCTTCAATAACTTCAGTCATATAGCAAAACACAACATAAATATGTGCTGGTAGGTATTCCCACTTTGGTCGACATTTTTACTTTAGTAATTTGGAATTGTGCCCGGTATATGGCAATAGGCCCAACCCTTTTACATGGGACTAATAACATAAATAGTGAAAAGTGGGTGTTACATTGTACAGTGGCATTATGTGCACCTTTGCCTACCCCTTCGGGGATAAAAGGCGTGATGTTATGTTATGTTATATTTTTTAACTTCAGTCCCAGAAAAATCTCTAATTTTGAGTGACGCAATGTTGTCGGAGTACATTTTAAAACGACATTTTCTTGTTTCATCTTACTTTTAATTATAAATTAACCTCCGGTGATTCTAGACTAAAATTCCTTTGCGTCTTGTAAACGAGATTCTCTATTCGCGTTAAAAGCTTTTACACAGTATTAAGTCCGCCGTCCTGTTAATACAATTTTCACTATCTTTTAGATTATTTTGTTGCCTGTTTTTAATATATTTCTTTATGTTCTTTCGCTAGTATCTGTAAAAAACCTTTTAATCTGTAATGCGTTCTGCTTAAGAGTTTTGCCGGGACCTATATTTATAGAAACTGCAATTAAGTGCGGCTTCGATTCCCGCACGGAACAACTCTGTGTGATCCACAAATTGTTGATCCGGGTTTGGGCGTCATGTGTATATGAGCTTATTTGTTTGTAAACGCACCCACGACACAGGAGAAAATCATAGCGAGACAACGATCTTTTAAAAACACTTTTTTACGTCAATGTAAAGATAAAAGTATCTGTGTGTCGATCGATCCCTAGGTAAAGTATTTACTCCAGAACCCCTATGATTTTTTTTTATGGAATAAGCTGGTAGATACACGAGCGGACGGATCATCTTATGGTAAGCAATCGTTGCCGCCCATAGACACCTAAAACACCAGAGGCGTTACATGTCTGTTACCGACCTTTTGGGAAATTTGCGGATTGTGGGGGATTCGGGGATTAGGGAGATTGGGGAGGGGGGGTTGGTTGGGACTCCGGTAACCTCACTCACACGACGAAATACAACAAAAAGCGTTGTTTCACGTTGGTTTTCTCTGAGGCCGTGGTATCACTCCGGTCGAACCGGCCCATTCGTGCCGAAGCATGGCTCTCCCACACTTATAATTATGTACTTTGTTGTTAACAAAAGTATAAATAAGGCACTTTGAACAAATAATAAAAATAAATCATTACACTTACCTAGTCTTCAGTTCTGTGGTAGAAACTTGAATGGAATTTGAATGTACTGGCCAGCTGGGTTTATAAAACGTTTGATAAAAAGATGAATGGTGAACAATCCTTATTGTTGCGAAACACATCAATTGTATTCGTTTTGTGATAGTCACCAGGTGGCGACACTACCAACTTAGTTATGCAGTTGCTGGTGGCGCCCTCAAACTTAAGAATTAATATTTCATTTTACTACGATGAAGTAAAGTCCTTTTACGTTATTTAACTATTGGTACTTTTTCTACCAACCTTTACACATACAACTGGAGTCCTTAAACTCCCTCATCCCTAGACCTTTTTAACTCCTCTGGTGTTTGTGGTATCTAGAGGTAGCAACGATACGGAGCCGCGGAAGACTTAACGTGTCGCGGCTCCGGCTCGACGTGCAGGAGAAGGAACGGGGTGGTTTTTAGTCAGTAAGAGTCTGACACTCCTTCTCGCCTCACCTGGGCGGGAGAATTCAAAGGTTGATTTTCCCCGCTCAAAAAAAAAGATGTAGCAACGATTGCTTAGCATCAGGTAACCCGTTATCTCACTTGACACACTATCTGATATAAAACACAAAGTTTTTGCAGACAGATATTAATGTATGTAGTGATTCGTTCCAATTTTATCCACCTGCATTGGTAAGTTGGTAACGCTATACCCATATGTAACAGTGGTTTTATGGCGTCAATGTAGGTAATTGCTTCGTTCGTAGGAAGTTGAATGAAAATTATTCTCTTTATGTTTTGTACCTATTTTTTTTCATAAGACTCTCATTACATTTCACATGTTCAATGTTAGATGAATGAGAGTAAAAAATAGTTTCAACTTTAAATCCATTGGTGTTAAGTCTCTTTTCATTTTATCTTCCTTTTCATTCAAGAAGGACGTGTTCAGCAAGTTAAGTATTACTGAATACAGGAATAAATCCCAACTTTACAGGAACTTTCAGTCAGCTGAAGTTTCTGGCTTCGCTAAATCAATCACGAAACTCAATTGATATTCATTGAAATTTTAAAATACATTGAAAGTTATTTTAATATTGTAAAGTAGGATATGATCCTTTTTACAGCTCAGTCATCATCATCAATCATCAACAGCCTCTTCTCATACAGAGAAGGTTTGAGCATTAATTACCACGCTTGCACCGTTTGTCAATGGTGACTGAATAATCTTAGAAAGTACATATAACTCGGAAAAAGACGAATTGGTACTTGTCGTTGATAGGTTTTGGACAATCATGCGTGAGAAGCGGTCTTAAGCCAAACAAAACTTAACTAAAAAACACCGAGCGAACCTCGGTCATCTAGGTACTGAGATTTTTATGAAATTGAAAAACAATTGACCAATGAGACAGTGTAACATAATTTGTAGGTAATTCAATAATTTGATACAGAATTGTTATCTTTTTGAAATTACTAACTACATCCCACACAACAGTGAACCTTTTACAGAAGTTAGGACAATTCAGACTTCATGTTATTACAGAGATTTATGAAATTGAAAAAACATTTGTCTAAAGAGGCAGTCTAATAAAATTTGTTCTTCGCAAAATTTACACAGAACTCTAAGGCTAAGGATTTACGGCGGGATTTTCTCTCACGCCTGCCGCGGTGGCGACATGGGGGCGGAACTTTCAAAAGTCATGAGACCGCAGTTTTCTGCGGTCCAGCACCCGCCGCTGTTGCGATTATCGCCCGCAAACTTGGCGGTTGATTATCGCTAGACGGGCGGGCGGTTAAACAATCAGTAAAGTTCTAGACCGGCCGTCCTATTGCGATCGCCCGTCAACTGATCGTAGAGCATCATCATCACCAACAGCCTATAATTGCCCACTGCCAAGCAAAGCCTCTTCTCACACGGAGAAGGTTTGAGCATCAATCACCACGCTTGCTCAATGCGGGTTGGCAATGACAAACTTATAATTAGAAATTATAAGCTCAGGTTTCCTCACGATGTTTTCCTTCACAGTTTGTCAGTGGTATCTAGATAATCTTAGAAAGTACATATAACACGGAAAAAGTCACATTGGTACTTGCCGTTGGTAGCTTTAGAACCCGCACCCTTATGCACGAAAAGCGGACGAACCCCCAAACAATCGCAACCGCCGCGGGTGTAAAACGCACCGTGGTAATTGGTTAGATTTTTTACTTACACATCTGTATCCTACAAAGGCTATGGTCGGCAACCGCGGCGGGTGCGCGAGAAAATCGCGCCGTGCGACCTTAGCCTTATCTTCTCGAAATTATCTTTATGTCCTTTGTTGAAAGAACAAGATGTGTACTTTCTAAGATTACTCTCAATTGTTTTCTTTGTAAATAAAGTAGAAAAATATATTTTTCTTAAAACGTTGAAGGTTGTGTGTCAATAGACATAGTAATTCAATAACGCTGAAGAGTTTTTGTTAGTTTGTTTGAGTGGAGTAAAGTAGTTGTAAGAATTTGAAATTGTGATGCTTCAATAGCTGTAGATTTTTGACTTGATGTATGTATGAAAGGTTGATCTTATACAGATATTTAAATTGAAACTAATTCACTTTCTAAATTAAAGAGTAAAGGGTAATAGCTGATTATTATTAATAGCTGATGATTATACTCGCCAAGAGGATAAAGATATTGTCAACAGACCGCTATGTACATACTTATTTGTAAGTTGGGTACACTACCTCGCATCCAAAACCATTAAACCATACAATAGAATACCAAACAAACAATTGTATCTATATCAAAATATTTAATTAACTAGATTTGAAATTCTAATACATACTATTCCAATCGCAATAGACATAAGTAAACATGAAATTGAGACCATTAACAAACATTTCAACTAAGGGAAGACGAGATGCCGCCCAAAGACTAGTTACGGAAAGACGACGTCGGGTCGCCACTGTCGCAATAATCACAGTGCAATTTCATCCTATTAAAAACTTTGACATCCAACTGAGAAGTCACTCTGTACGCTGACTCTGTACTCTGTAGCCATCCGTTTTAAACTCCGTTCAATTTAAGTTATTCCGTCTGTAAAGCCATTTAATTTAAATTATTTTAACTTGTTCATGAAATTTGTCTAGGAATTGTCGAGCCGAATTAACCCTTTAAGTACTGTCATTATAGACACAATTAAAATAGTTGCGGTCACCGGTGTCCTCGCGGTGTTTGACAGTTTAAATGCATGTTTTGCATAATTGGGTACTTGCAAACTAGTTAAATTCAATACCTTTTTCGAACTGTTAATAACGAAATTTTGTACGAAATTGTGTATTGTGACGTCACGCGTTTTTGGCGTCAAACAGCATACTTATTTCTTAAAAAATAGGTAGAA